TCCTATCTAAGAATGGAATGTTTGTTGGAAAGGGATATTGTTGTAATGGTATGTTCAAATTAAGTATTAATGAATGAAAAGTTTTTGTTTATATTGTTGATTCTTTCTCTTTATGGCATGATAGATTAGCACACTTGAATTTTAAATCCATTAGAACATGAGCAAATTTGTTATAATTGCTTACAATAATGAATCAACTAAAACATGTGATATATGTGTAAAATCTAAAATGGCTAAGAAACATTTCACCAGTGTTGAGAGAAATACTCAACTTCTAGAACTAATTCATTCTGACATCTGTGAACTCAATGGTATATTAAGTAGAGGAGGTAAGAGATACTTCATAACATTTATAGATGACTTTTCTAAGTACACCTATGTCTACCTTACGAGAATTAAGGATGAAACTTTTGACATGTTTAAACTGTATAAAACTGAAGTTGAAAATCAACTAGAAAAGAAAATTAAAATCCTTAAAAGTGATAGGAGTGTTGAATACTTTAAAAATGAGTTTAATTCTTTCTGTGAATAATTTGAATAATACATCAGTGTTTTGCTCCCCATACCCCTCAACAGAATGGCCTGCTTGAAAGGAAAAATAGAACATTTACAGAAATGATAAACTGCATGTTGTTAAAAGCTAATGCACTCTTAAACTTGTGGGGGGAAGCACTCCTGATAGCCTGCCATTTACATAATAGAATTGTTTATAGAGTTAATAACAAATGTCCATATGAATTATGGACAAGAAAAAGCCTAATTTACCATCATACATAGCAATGCCTATAGGCTTTTAGACTTAGAGTCCCACATAATAATTGAAACTAGAGTTATTGAATTCTTTGAGAATAAACTATGTTCTGAATCTACAAAAAATTACAGAGAACCTGAAAGAGAAACTCATATCTCAATACTTGTTGATAATAATGAGACTGAAATAAGAAATGACACAACTGTAACACCTACAATAGAATCTAGAAAGTGTCAAATACAAAGAACAGAGAAACACTTGGGTTTAGATTTTATCTCTACTCAATCAATTGTATTTTTGGTTGAGGCTGATAAAGAGAAGATTTTAAATAAAATATCCATTGTCCTAAACATTGAAAATGATCTAAAAACCTACAGTGAGGCCATGATCTCTAGAGATGTTGCCTTTGGAAGGAAGCTATAAATGATGAAATGGATTCAATAATGTCAAATAACACATGGGTACTAGTAGATCTGCCTCTAGGATCAAAACTAGTCAAATGTAAATGGGTGCTTAGAAAAAAATACAACACTGATAGAACTGTACAAACTTTTAAGGCTAGATTGGCAGCCAAAGGATTTAATTAAAAGGAATGGATTGATTACTTTGACACTTATGCACTAGTGGCTAGAACAACTTCTATTAGAACAATCATAGCATTAGCATCCATTTATCACTTATCTATTCATCAAATGGATGTTAAAACTGTTTTCTTAAATGGTGATTTAAATGAAAAGGTTTATATGGAACAACTAGAAGGATTTGTTTTTCCTGGAAATGAGAAGAAAGTCTATAAATTGGTTAAATCATTATATGAATTAAAATAAACATCTAAACAGTGGCATGAGAAATTTGATTATTGCATTCTAACTTTTGGTTTTAAACATAATAGTGTTGACAGATGCATCTATTCAAAATTCACTGAAAATTATGGAGTAATTGTATGTTTTTATGTTGATGATATACTTTTTGTGGGTACAAATATGGTTGGCATAAATGAAACTAAAAACTACTTATCCTCTGTCTTCAAGATGAAAGATTTACGAGAAGTAGATTCCATCTTGGGAATAAAAATTAAAAAGCATAATAGGAGTTATGCATTAAGCCAATCACATTATATTGAGAAAGTAATTGAGAAATTTAAGCATTTAGGGTTTAAAGAATATAGCACACCATATGATTATAGTATAAAGCTAGTGGAAAATACTAGTAGAGCAATTACACAACTTGAGTATGCTAATGCAGTAGGAAGTTTGATGTATGCTATGCTTTGTAGTTGACATGATTTTGCATTTGTAGTAAGTAAACTCAGTCGGTTTACAAGTAATCCCGGTGCAGAGCACTAGAAGGCAATTGTGAAAGTTTTTTGGTATCTCAAGAGAACTTTGGAACTTGACTTGTTTTACTATGATTATCCAACTGTACTAAAAGGGTACACTGATGCAAGTTGGATTACTGGTATTTAAGATAACAAGTCCACCTTTGGAAAGATTTTCGTCCTTGGTGGGGGTGCGATCTCTTGGGCATCCAAGAGACAAACTTGTATATCTCACTTGACCATGGAATCTGAATTCATAACCTTGGCAGCTACTGGAAAAAAGGCTGAATGGATTAAGAATTTATTATTGGATATAAAACTTTGGCCTAGCCCTATGCCTCCAATTTTATTTACTGTGATAGTGATACAACTCTATCAAGAGCCTACAGTGATACCTACAATGGTAAGTCCAAACATACAAGTCTAAGACATGAATTTGTTAGACAATTGATTCAAAATGGAGTCATCATTATAATCTATGTGAGGTCAAGTAAAAATTTGGCTAATCTTTTACCAAGGGCTTGGCTTGAGAATTGATAAGAATGACCACCAATAACCCAACCTAAATTAAAAACCATCAGTATTGGGTTTAATGGGTAACAAATTACAGCAAGGTGACTGTTAGGATTGACATTTAGAAATTTCCCATCACAACATAAACTGTGTTGTCTGTTATGATGAGATGTTGAGTTAAACTCTTAATGAAGTTTTGAAATGTGTCAAATAATGAAACACATGGTGGAACTTCACCTATGTGAACATAGAAGTAGTGCCGCTTTTCATGAGAGTTTGGGTTTGTTCTCGGGATTGTTCATGAAACTAGGAAAGAAGCACACGGCCATAACAATGCTGAGCAAAACTTGAAACTCTTATAGAGAATGAACATTTTTGTGTGTATGGGTGTCTCTGGTCTGTTATGAGAGTAATTGGTTTAAGGTCTAACCACCAATAACTTTGAAAAGGCTCTGAGATATCTATACTAACAAAAGGTTTAAGTTGATAAGTACCTTCTGTATGCATAACTGTGTTATAGTAGTTTGGATTGAGAGAGAACTATGTAATTGATCAATCAATATGGGGAACTGTTGGATTTTAATCTCATAAGAAATTAAATCCAATGGGGTTGATTGGTTAGTTACATGAGAAATTACACGTGCACACTTGTTTGGAAAATTAATTTTTTTTTTTTTTTTTTTTTACAAAACCCAGTTTTGAACTTGTCCCACATTGGAAAATTATAAGCTTTATTTTCAGTATTTTAATAGGAGCTGATTTACATTCCTTAGAAATAATAGAGGAGAGTATGAGGGTTTGATACAACGCAACGCGCGTGCACGTGTGTGCGACGCAGTGAGGCGATTTAGAGGCACACTTTGCTCGCACTTTGCACGCACCCGCGTGGCTCGCGAAGGGCGGCTTTCATTTTAGTGCGATGTTGACTGTTGATCACTATTGATGAGACCAACGGTCACGATTCGGTCGGGTGTGATCAAGAGGCACAATTTGAAATTAATAGTCATTAACTGTTAACTACTTTTTAAACAGTTATAATATTTGAAATTTTGACTGTTCAATGTGCCTTCTCTGAACCAGCATTTACATTTTCTTCATAAACTATTTAAGGAACATGAATCAAATTTAAAAAACACAACATTTTTGAAAATCACTTTCTCTCTCTCTCAGTCCAGTCTGCTACAGTCTCACAGAGGTTTTTTCAGAGATTTTTCATTTTGGTGGTTGTAGATTCTCACCCAAGGATCTGTTGTATCCTGGGAATGGATTTGCTTGTAACCCAATAGTAAACTCAGTGAAATTGAGTGGGGACAAATAACGTTCTAAAGACAGTATCTTCAAACCCGCTTCAGAGCTTCTCCTCCAACGCTATAGTGACCCTATTTCCCAATAATAGATATTACAAGGTTTGAAATTTTATTGAAGAAGGGAAATCGACGAGATTAGTTGGACCTAATTCAATTCATTTACACCTCCACACTCCTGTACTCCACCTACAACCTCTTGACGAAGAGGAAAGTTGCTAGGCTTCACCAAAATGTTGATTCAGCAGTGGCATCTCTATCACCTAACAAACGTCGTCTCGTATATAGTTTCTCTTTATGTCGGCCTTGGCTTCATAGTTTCTCTTGGATGTTGGGACACAAAATCAGGAAAGGAATTGAAAGCAAGTTCTTCATCCCTTCCGTTCTCTCTCCCCTGTTTTGTCTATAGTTTCTCTCTGATGTTGGCCTTGGCTTCATATTCTCGTTAAATAAGAAAAAACGTATATATTCAAATTACAAATGTTCTTCCGCTGTTTGAATTGATCGGGTCAATAAATTGAAGCTTCACGATGCAGATCTTCAAGTGCTTCATGCATTCACGAATTCCAGTGTTGAATTCATACACCATCGAAAAGACGATGAACAAATGGGTGAAGAATAAGCAAAGGAAAAAAGAAAAAGAGAATAAGTAGAGGGGATGAAATTTGAAGAATAGTGAAAGATAAATTTGACATTTCGTTTCAAAAAATTAAGGTGCCGCAACACAATAACTAAAACTTAAAAAATAAAAAATCTCAAATCCTTACATCTCCACTGAAAATAATCGCTATTATTTTCTCATGGGCATTGTTGTATAACGCCTATAACCTATGGGGTTTTTTTCGTCATTTGCGCGATTAAGTTTGGGATATCAACGGCAGTTTCGTTATTTTTTGTTCTCTTCATGTTTATTTTGTAGGCTTCCTTTTATGGATCCAACAGTCCAAGTGTCCTGCTCCGTCTTCGATCCAAACAGCAAAATCAAAAACTCCATCTAACCGTTCATATAAACTTTAATGAACGGTCGAAGATCGCGATCCGCGTCATTGCTTATTATTGGCTGATTTCATCCACCATCATATATAAATACGACATAAGAGAACCGCCAAATGTATTTTTCAGACTCCGTCGTCTTCCTATCTCTGTGACTATCCTCCCCGCTTCAAATCTCTCGTCCCTCTCAGAACTCGCTAAATTTCTTTTTCGGAAATTAGATATGGCCGGAAGGGGAAAATCTCTGGGAGCCGGAGCTTCGAAGAAGGCGACATCCAGAAGCAGCAAGGCCGGGCTTCAATTTCCGGTCGGAAGGATCGCTAGGTTTCTGAAAGCCGGTAAATACGCAGAGCGAGTTGGTGCCGGTGCTCCGGTGTATCTCGCCGCCGTTCTCGAGTATCTCGCAGCCGAGGTTTGTTTCGTCCTGACTAGGGTTCCTCCTTCGTCTTTCTTTGTTTAAATTTTAACGGTGCTTTTGTCTATCTTATGTATGGCTTTGAATATTTGACTAATTTGTTAATGATTTAAATTCGATTGCAGGTGTTGGAATTGGCTGGGAACGCAGCGAGGGATAACAAGAAGACGAGAATCGTGCCAAGACACATTCAATTGGCAGTGAGGAATGATGAAGAACTTAGCAGGTTGCTTGGCACGGTTACGATCGCAAGTGGTGGTGTAATGCCCAACATCCACAATTTGTTGTTGCCGAAGAAGACCGGGACTGGTTCTTCCAAATCTGTCTCTGCTGATGATGAGAGTTAGATTTGTTTTTAGCATTGTGGACAGGAAAAGAAAGAAATCTGTAGTTAGGTTTTCGATTCTTTGTATTTTAGGTCTGAGGTTTTTCTTTGTTTCTTTTCTGGATGTGGTTGGAGGTTGTCAATGTAGATTAACGAAAAGGATGGAGATGTAATCCCTGTGAATTTGGGTAAAACTTCGTGATTTTCTACAAACTCCTTGAGATATGGTTTCTCTTCTGTTCAATTGGGTTGCGATTTTTTTTTTTCATTTTGGATACTTTTGGATTGTGACTCAATTGATAAATGGAGGCTAATGAATCTGGGCTCGTAAAAAAATTCTTGATGCTCTCCTCTGTGTTGATTTTTTTTGGGAGAATGACTGATCAGTCCAGAATATTTAAGTAGTCCGTAGTAATTCAGAATTTTGCATTGACCTGTAGTACGGAGTACTTAAATATTCGCATGAATTAAAATATACAAATTTGTTAAATTAATCCTGGTGTTAATGAGGGATTTAAAGGGTAAAAAAGTTTCTGATAATCATAAAATCTTTATCTTTCACTTTAACAAAAAACTCTTTTGAACCTTTAAAGAATTCAACAAAAACCTCTCTCCCGTCGTTGACGCGGACGAAAAACGTTAAATTGATGTGTCAATTTTTTCAAATACTCAATTTACCCTTTTGTTTTCTTAGCCCTGCTAGCGCTAGCTCCAAGCTTCACTCAAGGAGATGGATACAAATATTCAAATGCCAGAGAACTCAAGGAAGTGCGACTGCCGACTTCGTCTTTGTCTCAGACATCAGGACCTTAAGAGTCGACAAGAGATTTCGAATATCAGGACCATAAGAGTCGACACGTAAGAGAAGCTAGGCAGCTAGGCTTTGGAAAGGTAGTTAGAGAAGTTGCCGATGAAGAAAAGAGATGCCTTGAGCACCGGTAGCTGGGTTTTCTCTTGGTGGCAGAAATTCTGTTCAAACCAGAATTTCTCCTCTCATTCACCAACAACTGCTATCATTAACTTGATATTCCACAGTGGAAGAATAAAAGGAAAAGATTGAAATCTTGGACTGGGAGTTGACGGAGTGCGATTGCCGACTATGACTTATGTAGGAATCATCGCTTGTGGCCTTATATTAATACTCGATGTCCACGCGACACTCCCAGCTCTTTGACAAACCTCTTTATCCGTTTCGGCTCAAATATCCGAGGCTATTTTACGCTTCGCTTGGAATAGATGGAACCGTCCAAATCGAGACCAATTCATTTCCATAAAAAATTCCTCCTCATTGGAACTGATTCAACTGACTACCGAGTAGTAAAATCAGTATTCTAGAGAAAATGAGTAAGGGAGAAAACTGATTTTCTCATGCAATTCGATTTGTTACACACGTGGTATATGATCCATTGCTTGCTGCTTCGTTTAAAACAAATACCCGCATTCATTATTTGGATGGTAGAGAAAAAAATTGTGGTAAAGCTAGAGAAAAAGCTCATCAAGTTCATAAACTCATCATCACATTTATTGGGATAGTCCATTGCCTAGAATAAACGATGTGGAAAAGTGAGAATTTTAACTTAATGGAAAAGTGCAGATTCCTTGTTTTCTATATGCCACCATTAAAGGCAGAAGTGAAACCCCAAGTTTAATTTAATGAAAATTCAAAAGGGTGAAAAACAGGGGTTTCTATGAATTTGAAATACTTACTACGGATGAGGGATGAAACCATATACGAAACCTTCCTTCTTGAGCTTTGAGCAGAATATAGATATCTGTGGATGGATTTTTATTTTCAACTTTTCATTTGGACAGCTTGATCCAAAATTACAATTCATATTGTTTACTGTCTACATCAATCTAGTTGAAATTCCAACTATGGTGGAATGCACCACCACCCCTTTTACCTTTCTTCGTCTGAAAGTGATTTCACTATAATATAGCAACAATTACCGACCAACACTGTGACAATTAGAGCAATCTGTGTTCTATCTTTATGAAGGCAAAACTTGAACTTAGTTAATTGGTATGCAGTAAAGGACTCATGAATCCCAACCACCCCATCCATCCCACAAATCAGAGGAAAGCCAGGTTTGGGAGCTGTGAAAGCGAATTCGTGAACTGGTTGTGACCAATTTGATTTTAGGTGGTAGGATTGAGGCATTTACAAGGAGATTTTTTTGTCGATTTTTGTACAGGAGAATTTCAATAAATGTATATAAATAAATTTACAAAAGAGCAAAATGGGTATTGAATAGAAATTGATGCATCCGTCTGACTTTTTCGTCTGGATCAGAAGGGAGGTGTTTATTAAAGTGAAATTAGAGGAAGAAGTTTTCATGATTGTCAGAAACTTGAAGAAGGGAGGTTTTTGTATTTTACCCTTATTTAAATTTTCAAAATAATATTTATAATCTGAATGACCTGTTGACGTCATTTTCAGCCAAACGGCAAAAACTTTTCCTTCCGTGGCTTCCACAAACTCAACAGAGGAGAGGAAGAAAGCGAGGTGCGGGCGATGATGATCTTTGCTAATGTTAACTCGATTAAAGAAGTCAGCCCCTTAATTCCTCCTCGGCTCCTCCTGTCTCCATGGACGACGCTCAAACAGTGCCAATAATATCACGAAAAAATTGTAATTATGATAGACGAATCTTCATTTCGAGAACAGAACATGTTTGTGTTCTTCTCTCTATCTCTCCTTTGCTCTTCCTCGTTTATTTTCTATCTTCTGGATAGAAACTAGAGGGTCTATTGAAACTACTCTCAACACTTACCGCACTCTTTCTTCTTCAATCCTCCACTTCCCATCAAAATTAAGCATCTACTATTTTCCACCTCAAATGGTGAATAGGATTCAACGTCCTTCGTTGATCAACTATATAGGATCGTGAACCCATGATTTGACTTTTCACATGCTGAGATATTTTTTTTTTCGTGATCCATGAGGACCATGACCAAACAGATGCGGTGGCAATTTTAAACTACGTACCATGGTTTTCAAAACCGGACCGGACCGGACCGGACGGTCGGACCAGAAAAACCGGGAACCGGTCAGGTGATTGGTTCGGTTTTTCCCCCAAATTGGGATTTTTCAAAAAACCGTTGATTTTGGTCAGTATACCACTGACCCGGGTGGTTAATCGTTTGAACCATTCAAACATTTGATAATTTTTTATTTTTTGTCAAAACAGGCTGACTGTTCGGGCATTCGACCCAGTCACCGGACCCCTGACCGGTTCAGTTTTAAAAACCATGCTACCTACGTGTCTTCACCTTCTCTAGTGCAACACACGTGAGTGTATCATAAAGATCAATGAAGGAGAAGAATCCAAACATTGAGCATTAATAGAAGCATGGTTTTCAAAACCGGACCGGACCGGATGGTTGGACCAGAAAAACCGGTAACCGGTCAGGCCCCCGGGTCCGGTCACACTAAAAATCGGAAATCTTTAAAAAATGTTGAAAAAGTAAAAAAACCGCTAATCCGGGCAATCGGACCGCTAAACCGTTCGACCCAGGTAGTGGTTCGCGGGTTTTCTTTTTTATTTTCAATGTTTTAAATCAAATAAAAAAAAACAAAAAATAAAATTCCTTTAATATTCCCATCCCAAATCAATTAATCGAATGTAGGGTTAGAACCCATTTTCGTTCTTCCTTCCTTTCAGCCCTCACACCCAACCGACCCCCTACGGCGGCCAGTACATCCGTTTGTTCGACGGTGACACACTTTGACCGACGGTGACTAATGGCGACTAGCAACGACGAGTTTGTAGCGGCGGCCAACGTTTTTTACGATTTGCAACACTTCATGGCTTTGCGGCAGGCGAGTTTATAGCGGTGGCCATCCCTTACACCCAACCAACCACTTGCGGTGGCCAACACCTCCGATGTTCGACGGCGACACACACCGACCGACTGCAATTAACGACAACTGGCGACGGCGAGCTTGTAGTGGCGGCTAGCATTTTTTGCGATTTGCATCACTTCCAGGTGCAGTAGGCGGGTTTGCAGCGACGACCATTCCTCACACCCAACCAACCACCTGCGGCGGCCAGCACCTCCGACGTTTGATGGCGACACACACTGACCGACTGCGATTAACAACGTTCACGATGACTAGTGTTTTTGCAATTTGCAGCACTTCCAGGCTTTATGACAGGTGAATTTGTAGCACTTCCAAGTAAAAATTAGTGTAATTTTTTGATCAATTAGGTAAAATTAATGTGTATTGAAGTCTTTTACAGATCAATCTTGGTTGCGTAGCAATCTAACATTCTAGAGTGAATGCTCATATTTCTACCCTTTTATTTTGGTGCCAGGGGAATCTATCTCTGTGAATCTTGATTTTAGGTCAAGGATTTTTGCATTTTAGGACTTAACATTCTAGAGTTTTTTTCTGTATTTTTTTCAATTTTTTGTTTTATTTTTCTGAGTTTTTATGATTATTTTTGTGTTTTTTCAATTTTTGTATTTTATTTTCTGTATTTTTTTTGTTTTTTATTTAATTTTATGCTATTTTTTATTATTTATAAATACTTTTTATTTTTAATTTATTTTTGACATTATGGATTGAACCGTTTAACCGAAAATCAGTCCCCTGACCGGTTCTGTTTCCGGTTCGTTTTTAAAAACCTTGAATAGAAGTTACAAATGTAATGGACTGCTTCGGTGAGGAAGTTGCAATGCTTTGGAGATGAAGCTCTTTCGGCGCGGGCATATATGTGGAGTTTCTAGAAGAGTTAAAAGAATCTGAATAATTGTCGAAGCTGCTTAATTTGGTCTTCGTGTAACTGGGAGTGGGGAGAGAAGCTAGCGTTTGAAGAGGTTGATGTTTAGTTTCAGAGACAAGAAACAACAAAGATTGTGTGTTAGCTCTATCTCCTCGCCAAGTTGATCTCTGATAGACCTCAAAACCTCACTGGTGTATGTCAATGAGGCAAAATTAAATGTGAGAAGATGGATTAGCTTCCGCCTCCGGCATAGACATCCATTCAGAGTGGGAAAGGGGCTGATTTGAGGGGTCTACACAAAGAGTGAAAATGACAAAACATCTAAACTAAGACATTTCATAAATGGATCGAATGAGTTGGACAAAAGGCTTGCAGTTTTTCCCAATCCCACCGTGTATAAACTAATTTCCCTCGGAAATTAGTGGGCATCGCCTATGCCATGCATTATGTTGTGCTTGAGGGTTTAAAAAATAGAATAAACAGACAACATTTGGTAGGGCTAGGATTGCAAGAT